TGGGAGGGCGGGCAGGCCCTGAGGTCGCCCAGAGGAGCTGTGGCTGCCCCATCCCTGGGAGTGTCCCAGGCCAGGTTGGAGCCAGCTGGGCTGGTGGAAGGTGTCCCTACGCTCTGTTTCCCCTGAACTCCAGCCCTGACAGCTCCTTTCCCCTCTCCCCAGAGCGCCACGATGCCCTGTACGTCGTGGGAGCCCTGGACGAGACTCTGGAGCTGCGGGGGCTGCGGTACCACCCCATCGACATCGAGACCTCGGTGTCCCGGACCCACAGGAGCATCGCTGAATGGTAACACAGCCCCGAGGGCTGCGCTGCTCCCGGCCCAGCTGGACTGCAGCAGTTTAGGCAAAGATGCAGGGTTTGATTGGGGGAAAAAAAAAATGGGGAAATTCAGGTTATTTTCTGTGGGGAAATTCAGGTTTATCTGTGTTGCCCTCAGCCAGGCGTGCACCTGATTTCCCATCTGCAGGTCAGAACAGACTTGGTGTTTTCTCACAAGCCTCAGTGTTAAATAGAAATGATGATTTCCTGCTTTGGGGGTAAAGAGCCATTTCCCAGTGGGTGGCAGCAGCGTTGTTGTGTCACACAGGGGGTGCTGAGGTGGGTCTGAACTGACCTGTGACACGTCAGGGCCAGGTTGCCTTGGGGTTAGGTTGGAAGTGCAGCCCAGAGCAGGTGGGAGACTCCATCTGAGGATGATCAGCTGGAAACCTGGGACCTCCGTGACAATAACTGGGTTTTCTGTTGGTTTTTCCTTTGCCCTTCCAGTGCCGTGTTCACCTGGACCAACCTGCTGGTGGTGGTGGTGGAGCTGTGTGGCTGCGAGCAGGAGGCCCTGGATTTAGTCCCTCTGGTGACCAACGTGGTCCTGGAAGAGCATTACCTGATCGTGGGAGTGGTGGTGGTGGTGGATCCCGGGGTTATTCCCATCAATTCCCGAGGCGAGAAGCAGCGGATGCACCTCCGGGACAGTTTCCTGGCGGATCAGCTGGACCCCATTTACGTGGCCTACAACATGTGATGGGAGGAGCTGCAGGACCACAGGAGGACCAGGGTGGTGATGGAAGTGAAGCTGGTGAAATTACTAATACTTGACCTACGGTTTGAGGTTGCTGCCACATTCCCTCCCTCCCAGGCCCCCGGGGGGGTCCCGCTCCCAGTGGAGTGGAGGGAATTTGGGAGGCAAACTGGCAAACCTTCGTAACAGTTTACTGAACCATGAGCTTTAGAGAAATGCAAAGTGGAAAAGTGTGTGAGCTACAAAACCCCCAAGGCCTTTACACGTAGTGTTACTTTTTCACCCGTTGTACATATTTGTATTTTTATCTAATCCTGGGGTAGGATTCTATAAGGGGGAGGGTTTATTTAGTTAAGATAATAAACTATTAAGAAAAGGGTCATCAGAGTTCTGCAGTTCCCTACTCCATGATTGTCCTCTGCATCTGGAGCTGTTCATCCTGTGGGATCACCCAACTTGTTGACAATTGTGCCATGACCAAATCAATAACTTGCGGAATCGGAGAGTTACTTATTCGTATAGAGATTTCTGGAATTTAAAAAAAAAAAAAGAATTTTGCCTATATTTTAAATATGTAAATATTATTATACATAATTCACTTAGATAGCAAATTAACTTGGCTAATGAGGACAGCTGAAGGTTGATGTTTTTAAGGACAGGTGACTTTTGTGGTCCTCAGCATCCTGACATCGGCTTGGACACAATGTGAGATGCTCCCACCTTCCACAGGTTTCTGATCTCATTTGTCTCTTCATCCTGGCCAGAAGTGTGCCAGAGCACGTAGAACCTTCTGATATTAAAGGCACACCTTTCTCCAAGAGGCTGAATTTAACCTGGAACTGGGGAGAAATGGCAGTGCAGGTCCCGAATCCCGAACTGGAATGGTGCAGCCTCTGCCTCATCCTCTGGCTCCGGGTGTGGGAAGGAAAAACATTCCTTGGGTGGACACACACACAGGGGACTGCCCTGCTTGTGCCACCCAGTCATGGCTCCTTCCATCCCCAGGAAACACTGTAAATAAATAGGCTTTAGGAAAACCGGGAGCAAACAGCCCATCTTCCCTCCGAGCATTCCCTGGAAGGAACAGGAGAATCCTGGATTTAGGTTGGATGCAATTGTTTCTTTGACAGGAGGCAGAGCAGAGCGTTCAAATCTGCTCTGCCAGCCTCCCACCTCCTGTGTCAGCTCCAGAGTTAGGGAATGGGAGGAAAGAGGAGCCTTAGAGCAGCAGGGAATGAGCTTTTCCTGCTGGGAAGCCCTTCCACAGAGCTGGTGGTTGAGCTTTGACTCAAAAATGACCTTTTTCTGTTCAGTGCTTCATCTTTTAATAGCAATTACATTCCTCTGGGTGCTAAAAATCCGATTTTGGAAGCCTTGGGGGGCTGCTGCCGGATCCTGCAGCGGGGTTTTTTGAGTCCCACGTGGTATATACAGTGTAAATATAAAACTTTTCAGACGCTCCAGATACCTCATGCAAAGTTTTTAGGCCGTTTTTAAAAGGTTTATGGTGTGGACTCGGAAGATCCTGTGGCAGTTCCTGGAGCAGAACCCGGTGGATCCGTGGGCAGAAGCCCAGCCGTGTCCTGGAAGAAGCTCCTGCTGCATCCTGGTAGTTCCTCACCGAAAACAGGAGCTTTAAAAAAAAAAAAAAAACTCAGAGAAGAAGTTTGAAAGTATATTTTTGAAAAAAAAAAAATTTAAAAAAAAAAATTTAAAATATGTGGTGGGGAAATAATAGCTTTAGGAACTGGAAGTTTTATGGCAGGTCTGGGCTGAAGGTTCTTTGCAAACACTTCGGTTCACGGGGGGCACGTTTTGGAACCTTTTTCTGTGTTTTCCACAGTATCAGCAAAATAGGCACCAAATCTTTAATATATTTAGTTTTAACCAATTGACCACAGCGTGGGGACAGCGACAGGGGAAACTGTGACTAACACAGTTGGTCCTGCAGCTTGTTTTGGGTGTAAAGTGCACAAAGGTTGTTCTCCCTTTTCAGCCAGAAAATTCCTGTTATTCCATGTTCTCTGTGTCACCATTTTTGTGTTCCTTGCACAGCCCGGGCCTGGCCGAGCAGCTTCACTCCAACGTGACCTTTCCAGGGAAAATTCTGGTGGTCTTGGACCTTTTCCTTTACTCAAAAGCTTTAGTTGAATTGTTTCAACAAATGCTTTTTGTCCCCTGGAGTGGATTTCAAGTCCAGTTCCGGGGTTGCCGTTTATTTTCCCTCGTGATTTCTTCACAGAGGAAACGAGGTGTGTGTGTGTGAATTCCACCAGGGATCCCCCAAATGTGGTAGGTGGCCTTCCCAAAGTGGCTTTTTTTTTTTTATTTTTTGGAATGAGACTGGACTCATTTGATTTTTTTTTTTCCCCTTATTTTTTTATTTGGATGGGCTTTTCATGCCTTGGGGCTTTGTCCTGCAATTCCCTGGGTGCTCCAAGACATTTGTCCGTGCTGGAGAACTGCAGGACGCAGCCCTGCCCCTGGAAAGGGGGAACATTCCAGGGACACGGAGCAGCTGCTCAGTTTGGCTTCCCTGGGTGCTTTGTCCGTGTTTTGGCACAGTGGGAAGCGCTGGAGAGGAGGGAGGATGGAGCTGGGGCTCTGCAATCCCCAGGTTCTCCCTCCAGCTCCCACAAGCTTTCCACGGGTCATTCCACTCCTTCCATCCCTTCCTCTGTGATTTTTTCCATGCGGGAACAAACCGAGATCCTGCACTCCAGGCATTGGCAGGGGCAGGGCTGGGTGCTTTTCCCAAAAAAAAAAAAAACAAAAACAGCCTCTCCCCCCTGGTTTGCCTTCCCAGCTCCCGGAGTCGCACAGGGCACATCATTCCTTCCTCTTGTCCGTCAGGTTCCAAGCTTAGCAACCGCAGTGAAGCCGAAAAACTGGGAGTTCTTCCCGCTGAACTAAACTGGTTTGTGTGTCTCACTGTCTCTGGATCTTCCCTGAGCAAACTGTGTGGGAACAGGTCGGTTTTATCCTCTTCTGTTGGAATTTGCACTTCGTTTCTGGTTTAAATCAGCGGAATTCAGCTGTTTCCTACTAACTGCTCTAAAAATAAGGTTGTAAAAACCAGATCAGTTTTAGCCCTAGATGCATTTGTTTTCCTTTAATTTCTGTCAACCTCTTTCCCATTGTCCAATCCAGACTCCGGCGTTTCTGTAATTATGTATAAAGGTTTTATTTATTTAAAATTAGCTTAGTTACATTTTTAAATTTAACACCTGGCTGGACAGTGTCCCATTAACGCATTGATTGTGTTTCCTTTGTCTTGTGTTAATAAATATTGATGCCTGGTTGCTCGTTTAGTCCTTCAAGACGCTGTTTCCATGAAGGAATTTTTGTTTTGTTTTGTTTTTTTTTAAGGAGGGAAACGTGGGTTAAGGTTGATCCTGAGGAGAGGGAGAACTTGTGAGTGGTTTATGTTTTGTTTGTTGTGTTGAGGGGGTGAAGAGCTGGACGGGTGTCCTGGACCTGCAGCTTTGTGAATCTGAATTTTTGGGAATCAGAGCTGGGGAAGGGGCTGGAGCAGAGGGAGAAGGGGCTGGAGAGCTGAGGGAGAAGGGGCTGGAGAGCTGAGGGAGCTGGGGGGGCTCAGCCTGGGGAGAAAAGGAGGCTCAGGGGGGACCTTCTGGCTCTCCACAACTCCCTGTGATGGGGTTGGGATCGGGCTCTGCCCCCAGGGAACGAGGGATGGGATGAGAGGACACAGCCGGCGGGTGGGTGGGGAAGGGCAGGGCGCTGGGATGGGGATCCCCCCGCGGCTCGGGCTGGGAACACTATCGGGACTATCGCGACTTTCCCCGGCGGCCGCCGCCCTCCCGGCCGCGGGGGGGCGCGCTGTCTCCGCGGCGCGGCCTCTCCCGGCGCTCCGCCGCGCCCTCTCTATGGCCGTGCCGGGCGGGGCCGGCGCTCAGGCGGCCGCTCTAGCCCGGCGCGCGCGCGCTCCGCGCCGCTGGCGCTCTATGGCGGGGGCTCCTCTCTATGGTCGCGGCCCGCCCCCCCCGCCGGCGCCGCTCCCCTGAGGCGGCACCGGCACCGGGACCCGGCGGCTCCGGCGCTCCCCACGCGCGGCCCCGCGGGGCTCTGAGGTACGCGCGGGCTTGCGGAGGCCGCCCCGTCCCCCCTCTCGGCCCGCCCGCCCCCTTCTCCCTCCCCACCCTTTCCCCCCCCCTTCCCTCCCTCCCTCCCCGCGCCGTCCGTGAGGGGACGGGCACAGGCCGCGGCCTCGGCCCGGCGGGGCCCGCGGGGAGCTCCGGGCCTGAGGCGCTGCTGCCGGGGCCGGGCCCGCTGCCCCTGGGGGATTTGTGGGGGGAAAGGGGTTTGGGGGTGACGAGGGGTCCCCCCCAGCTTCCCCCTCCCCGGGTCCCGTTCCCCCCATTCCCGCTCCCTCTCCCTGCTCCCGCTCCCCACCCCGAGTCTTGTGAGGGGGGTAAACGGGGGTCTGAGGGTGACAAGGGACCCCCCAAGTCCCGCTTTCCCCGCCCCTAGGGGTGGGGGTTTAAAAGGGGTCCCCCGGTGCCCCCCTGGCTCCAGTCGGTCCCGGGCAGCTCGTGGCGAACAGGAGCTTTAATCGCTCATTAACGCGCCGTTTAATTAATGGCCGTCGGTACCTGCTCTCCCGGGGTTTTTGCCCCAAACCGCGCTGGGGAGGATGTCGGTGCTCTGGGGGGGGTTTTGCTCTCACAGATCCCCGGTGGAACAGGGAGGGTTTCGGGCTGCAGCTTTTGGGTCCGAAGCTCCTGTCAGGGATGTTCCTGTACGGGCTGGGGCGGGGGAGTGGAAGGAAACACACGTGCAAAGTGCCCCTGGAGTTCTAAGGGAATATCTCTGTGTGTTTGTGGAGTTCTGACAGCTTTCTGGGTGAACCAAATTTCCCCAAGCGTCTTAGTTGCAGAATTAGGTAAATAATATTTTCGCTGATTTTAAGGCACTGAAGAACCCCAATTTCCCCCAGATTACTTCAGTATCACTGAAAAAAAAAATCTCAATCCCTTTGAGCAATTTGTAAATGTCAGAAATTGTCTCCTGTCACTGAGTATTTGAGAACAAATGCCTTGTCCAATATTCTTTGGCTTCTGACTTCAGAAAGCCTTTAAAAAATATGATTAATTGGCTCTTACAGTGGTGAAAACATCATTTAGGCCTTTCCTCTGCTCCATCTAAAAGGGCAAAGCAGCTCTTGGTTCCTTCCTCTGGTGCTCTTTGTAGCATTTTAGGGAATTCAGAGAATTAGTGAAAGTTGTGGGAATGAGGTGTTTTGATTTTTTTTTTTTCAGATTGCCACTCCTGAGGCATTTTGGGTGTTCCTGGGGGGTTTGGGTGGGGGGTCACTCTGAGGCCTGTGGGATTTGGGGGGTTGTCTGTGAGGTCTGGGGTGAGAAACAAATCGTGCCCAGGATGAACTGTGACATTCCTGCTTCTGTCTGAAATCCCTGGCTGGAGGGAGATGATGCCCAGGATTCTGGGAGTCCCTGAAGTCCTTTCATGAGCTGCTCTTGGAGAATCCTCTCAGTGAAAGGACTTTTGAGGTGCAGCTGCCTGGACACTTTGGTTTTGCTCCGAAAAGCATCACCTGTGCCTGTCTGACCCTAAAAAAGGGGGGTTTGTCCAGACTGGGGCAATAATTATTCCCTGGATGATAAACCCTCCTGTCAGGGCTCTGTGACTCTTCCTTCTCCCCAAAGTGAGCAGCTCTCTCAGCTCAATAAATCCGAATTCAGCTCTTGGAGCAGTTTCACCTGTGATTGTGCCCAGGGATTTCCCTTTCTGGTGCTTCTTGTCAAAGCTTGAGACCTGCAGGCTGAGGGTTTCCCTTGGAGCTTCCCTCTGCAAGCTGGTGGCTGCCAGTTGCTGCCTCAGGTGCTCACAGGAGGCGGTTCCAATAGGAAATTCCCAATTTTCTGGCTAAATAAGGTGTTTCAACAAGGTAAAGGCGCGTGAGCCTTGTGAGACAGTCACATCCAGGGAGGGTGTGAGGTGCAGGGGGAATTCCCACCTTGCTGCAACCCTTGCCGAGCCTTCTCCTGGACATTGTTGCGCTCAGATTGATGGTGGATGAATAATTAAAACACCACAGAGCAAGCAGAGATGGAGTCAGCTCAAAACCCACATTTCTAATGGGAAGTGCTTTATCTTTCGTTCCTGTAAAGCAGAGCTTCACACCCATCAGAGAGAGAGATCAGCAGAACCTCCCCGGGGTGCTGCTTTTGGGTGCTTTTATCGGTTTCGCTGTTTCTTTGCAGGCTGCTTTGAGTCTTTCACGGGACAACGAGGCAGAGAAGAAAGTGGTGACAGAGAGCGGGGAGGGCAGGCTGTGGTTTGGCACTACAGAAATGAACAGGGGGGTTTTTGGGGCGCTGGAAATTCAGTGTCATCTTTGCTGCTGCTGGATTTTGGTTTGAGGGGCCCCGGGGGGTGCAAAGGTGGATTTTTTTTTTTTTCCCCTTATTAAAGCTAAAGCTGCATTAGAGGACAGACAAAGTTGTGTCCCCTGCACATGTTTGTCGTGAATTCTGCTCCTCATTTTTGATGTGGTTGATGTTTGCAGCCACGAGGACGTTGGGAAGCTGCATCACGTGCTGGGGGGGGGTTTGCTCCGTGCTGTAAAGGACACATGGAATCACAGAATCCTGGAATGGTTTGTTTGGGTCAGGAGGGACCTTAAAGATCATCCAGTGCCCCCCTGCCACCTTCCACCAGCTCAGGCTGCTCCAGCCTGGCCTGGGACACTCCCAGGGATGGGGCAGCCACAGCTCCTCTGGGCAACCTGTGCCAGGGCCTCCCACCCTCCCAGAGGGAGGATTTCTTCCCAATATCCCATCTAACCCTGCCCCCTGTCAGTTGGAAACCCTTCCCCCTTGTCCAGGCCCTTGGAAATGGTCCCTCTCCACCTTTCCTGCAGGTTCCCCTCAGGTCCTGGGAGGCCACAATGAGGTGACCCCAAAGCCTTCCCTTCTGCAGGCTGAGCAATCCCAATTCTCCAGCCTTTCCCCATGGCACAGCTGCTCCATCAGTGTTTCTTGTACCACCCAAGCACCGTTTTTGTCCCTCCAAAGCCCTGATTTAGTGCCTGATCCGGGGGGTCCTGAGTGGGCCCCCTGGGAGCTGGGGATGCAGGAGCAGGACTCTGCTCTCCGTCGCCTTTTCCCCCTCGGAGCATTCGCTGCGGTTCAGCTCGGCAGGGAAAAATCAATGACTCACATTTCCACAGAAAGAAATGTAATTTCCAGTCTCATAGCAACTGTCCTTTCAACACTTTCAAACCTTCTGTGACAAAATGTTTAACACTCACCCATCAGCTCTTAATGCTCCAGGCTGGTCCGCCCACTCCCCCCAGCTGAAACCTGCACTTGTGCATCCCTGAATCCCCCAATATCCGAGGGGGGGATGCTGGCAAGACGTTGAGCAGTTAAATATAAAACCTTAGACATGAGAGAGGTGTTGGTGACTGCATTACATGGAGACAGAGTGACTCTGGCAGGGCTTAAAATTCAAAACTGCACTCTCTCTCCACTTGGATCCGAGTCCCTGGTTTGTTTCTGTACACCTTCAGATGGTTTAAAATAGGTTTGGCTATAAAATCTTCTGGGAAACTCTCTTGCTTAGAGCAGGATATTCTTTAATATAAAGAATCTCAGCTTTCTTCCTGGATCTTTCATCCCACTGCCCAGAGGGCAGGGCTAGGTGGGATATTGGGGAGAAATTCCTCCCTGGGAGGGTGGGGAGGCCCCGAGGTTGCCCAGAGAAGCTGTGGCTACCCCATCCCTGGGAGTGTCCCAGGCCAGGCTGGAGCAACCTGGGCTGGTGGCACAGGGTAGAATGAGGTGGCCTTTAAGGTCCCTCCCGTCCCAGACCACTGAGGGATCCCCTGTTAACTGCATGTCCCTGGTTTCCCCCAGCTGATGATGGAAGAGGTGCACAAGGGCAGCAGCAGCAGCAGCTCCGTGACGCCGTCCCAGCCCTCGGCCGTACAAGGTACAACCCTCCAGGCAGCTCAGCTCTCTCATATTGCTCAACAGGTAAAGCCTGGGCTGGATCTCAGCAAACATTTCAGGGCCTTCAGAACCACTTTTTATGTGCCAGAAACCAAAGGTTCATTCTTAGAACCACACGGAGAAGGAAAACCAGGAGGAGGTTGAGAAAAATGTGTTTGTTTGTTGGTGAACGATGTCAAATTAATGAAAAAGTGTTGGAAAGTTCTTTTCTGGGCTCATACAATGCAGAATTGCAGCCCAGATTTGGGGTTAGTCGACCACAAGAGCTGCTCAGGAATAAATCAGGGCCCTGCTTTCATTTTTTCCTCAGGAAAAGCATTTCCAGCTCCTTTTGTAGTAACAGCAATCCTGGGTGTGCTGAGCACCATGGAAACCCTTGGAGTTTGGCCCAGCATGAGCATATTTAATGTAATAAATCATATGAAGTTGGAAATGTGAGATTCTTCCTCCAAGATGACATCCCTGTCAGAGCTTTCACCTGAACCCCTCCAGGAGTCAGCTTTTGCTGCACCTGGGAGTGAATCCTTCCAGGAGGGTTTTCCTGGGAAACAGCAACGTTTTGCAGCCCACCCACTGTTCACCCTGTGGAGGCAGTTGGCATTTTGATGCAAAATTTGGATTTAACAGAGGAGAGAGTATCAGCAGGTGTCCTGGGGTTGGTTTGCAGGCTGGTTTTATGCTGTTTTTATATAAAGTTCTGAATGTCCCTTAATATTGTGATTTATGATACAAAAGTAGCCTGAAGTGGAAATTCAGCCGTGTGAGTGTTAATGATCCCTTCATCTTCTCATTTATTTCAGATTAATTAAAGTAGTGAAGAAATTTGGTGAGGAAACTGGTTATTTACTTACAGTCAACTTGAATTATTTTTGGTTGTGAACATGTGAGCAGTATCAGTTGAATTAAAGTGCAAGGATTTATGTGAGTTCAGTGTCAAAACTACAAGCCCTCTGGGAAGTTGCAGTGTTTGCATCTTTTTAATCTCAATATGTGACATAACGTGACATATTTGATTTCCCCCAACCGAAGGAAACAAAAACCTGTTTCAGCCGTTTTCGCAGTAAGTACTGTCCCAAAAGTGTGCATCTTTACAGGTACTTTTGTGACTGAATTAGAATTAAAAGAAGCTTCTGCCTGTTCTGCACCAGCTGCGCTTCCCGAGCCCCGCGGCACAGAGGTTTTACTGATGGTTTCGGGTCTGTTGTAGATGTCTCTCAGAGGTTCTGCCCCCCTGACCGTGGTTCAGCTTCCTGGAGAGCAAGTCCAGGTGCAGGGAGTCATCCAGACAGCCCAGTCCTCCTCCGTGATCCACTCCCCTCAGGTGCAGACCGTGCAGGTAACCCCAGCAGGGCTTTCCAACCCCAAACCCCAGCACTGCTGTCGGTGGGAAGCTGTAGTGCCCTGTGAGGGACAGAGAGGGATCCAGGGGCAGTCCTGTGGGACACAACATCCCTCCTTTGGGCTGGTGCTGAGATCACCTTTGGAGTTCCAAATAAACCCTTTGCTAACAAAGCCAGCCCACAGCTCTGTGGCTGTGCCTTGGCAGACAGGGCGGTGGGGTTTGGTCCCCCAAGGAGGGGGAGTGAGGAGTGGTAGAATAATAACTCAGAAATGGGTTAAAGTGAGTCTTTGGGAAAGGTGGGCCCGAGCAGAGGGCTGAGCTGCTGCCTGCTCACCTCGTGCGCTCTGTAACTCCCTCTCAGAGGTGCCCAAGTCTCTGCTTGTGCCTCTTACTCACTGGCCACGTGGTTTTAGTGAGTCACTTGCGAGGGGTGCCCGGGGAGTTCCAGTGAGGCTGTTCCTGCTCCACTCAGTCCCTGCTGCAGAGCCCTCGGGCACTGGAGTTGTGCTGGGAAGCCACTGCCCTGGCAGCGGGGCGAGGGAGGAGCTGCCCTGAAACACAGGAATTTGTCCCTGATCCTTGTCCCACACTCCTCATGCCAATCTGAACTGATAAACCATGGGAAGCAAAGCTGGCAGGGACTGTCAGCTGCCACTGCTGGAACACCAGAGCAGGGACAGGAGAACACGTGTCGAGGGAAAGCAGTCGAGCCTCTGCCTCAGTCAGTTGCTGGTGCTCGTGTCTCCCTTAATCCCATTCCTTTTCCTTCCCCCTCCTGCAGGGTCCCACAGACTGGATTCTGTCCTTTTTTTTTTCCCTCCCTGTTATTTATGAACATTGTGGCCTTGTTGGGGGGAAAAAAAAGTACAACACGAGCAGTTATTTTTCACTGCGGCTCGTGGGCTGCTCTGTCTGTCTCTGCAGCTCGGTGGGAAAGGCTTTTCCCAGAGCTCTGTGCATTCCTCTGGACTCTGCTGCTGGCACACAGATAAGAACAAATAAATACTGGGTTCACTAATAAGGAGCATCAGAGACAAAATAACACTTTGAGCTGGGTGAGCACACAGTAGAATAAAGAAAACTGTAGATAGCACTTCGCACATTCACTCCCTGATAACGCTGCTGCCTTCAACGTTATTTTCCTTGGACTCACATTCTCACCAGCAAACCCCACAGCTCCTCTGCCTACATAAACATCTGTGTTTGTGCATCACTGGTGTTCCTGTTCCCTCTCCCACCAGGTCTCTTCCTTGTCTGAGAGTGAGGATTCCCAGGACTCCTCAGACAGCATCGGCTCCTCGCAGAAGGCTCGAGGCATCTTGGCTCGTCGCCCCTCGTACCGGTACTGATGAGATGGGACACCCTTGGTGTTCTGTTTGAAACCCAGGGAGCAGCTCCTTTCGGTGGCTTCACATACTCTGTCGACCTCCAAGTTGTTTCCTGTCCCTTGGGTCTGTTCAGGCACTGAACACCCCGAGCTGCCAGAGGAAACTTTGACTCCACTGGCTGGAGATGGGCCTCAGCACGATGTCGTGCAGGGGAAAATGTGCATCAGCCGTGATCTTACTCAGTTGTATCACTTCACTGAAGTGGGCAGTGTAGCCAAATGTCAAACTCTTTTTTTTTTTTTTTTTTCCACAGAAAAATTTTGAAAGATCTTTCCTCTGAAGACACACGGGATAGAAAAGGAGATGAGGAAAGTCCCGGGGTCTCCACTGTCACCTCCATGTCCGTTCCCACACCCATCTACCAGACAAGCACAGGACAGTACAGTACGTCACTCAAAATACCTACACAGTTTTTATTCAGCTGGCCTCAAAATACAGGTTTTGTTATATATTTGATTAAGATGAAACTCAAAAGTTGGTTATTATCTAGCAGTCAGTAAAGTTAGTACATAGAAATAACTGGTATCTACAGACCTCAGATAAACTCAGTGCTCTGTAATCTTAGTTTTTGCAGATTAGGACATTTAAGGCTGTCGGTGTGGAGCACACAGCAGTGTTCTGTGCTGGATTTAACCCAAAATGTCAGCTCAGTGAAGACACTAATATATACAGAGAGATAGATATATCATAGGCCACACCAAAAGGTTCCTGTGGTATCAAGGAGGCAGCAAAAAAAATAGGATTTGTCCCTTTGATGGTACTCACTGTGCTGTCCCTGTCCCTTCCCCGCAGTCGCCATCGCAGCCAACGGGCTGCAGCTGGCGGGGCCGGGGGCAGACGGGGTGCAGGGGCTGCAGACTCTGACCATGGCCAACACCGGCGCCTCCCAGCCCGGCACCACCATCCTGCAGTACGCCCAGACCTCGGACGGGCAGCAGATCCTGGTGCCCAGCAACCAGGTGGTGGTGCAGAGTGAGTACCCCTGGGGACAGGGTCACCCCTCGTGCTGTCCCCTGCTAATGCTGCCCCCCTTCAATGTCCCCTGCTAATGCCCTGTTTGGTGTCCCCTCCTAACCCTGCCCCGTTTCTGGTGTCCCCAGCTGTCCCCTCCTAACCCTGCCCCGTTTCTGGTGTCCCCAGCTGTCCCCTCCTAACCCTGCCCCGTTTCTGGTGTCCCGTTGTCCCCTCCTAACCCTGCCCCGTTTCTGGTGTCCCCAGCTGCCTCTGGAGACATGCAGACGTACCAGATCCGCACCACGCCCACCACGTCGTCCCTGCCCCAGACGGTGGTGATGACGTCCCCGGTCACTCTGACGTCGCAGACCAGCAAGACGGACGATCCGCAGCTCAAACGGGAGATCCGCCTGATGAAGAACAGGTACGTGGCTGCCCCTGGGCTGGCTGAGCTTCGTGTGCTCCACTGGTTGTGCTGCCCCCAGTCCCTGGAGCTCGGGAGATTCAAAAACGTGGGGGATTCTCACCCAGACTCGCTCCCTGGAGTGTTTTCCAGCAGCGTTGGAAAACCAAACCCGGGTTTTCCCTGCAGATTGGCTGCAGTGTGTGTGTTACCAGATCCTGCTGAGTCTCCTGCTCTCCTCCTCACCTGGGGCACTGCTGGTTTTGTTCCTCCCTGCAGTTGAGCTGTCTCACAACTGTAACATTCAGAAAACAGATCTAAGGTGAACAATCCTGCTCGTGTGTTGCAGGGAAGCCGCCCGGGAATGCCGCAGGAAGAAGAAGGAGTACGTGAAATGTCTGGAAAACCGAGTGGCAGTCCTGGAAAACCAGAACAAAACTCTAATTGAAGAACTAAAAACTTTGAAAGATCTTTACTGTCATAAAAGTGTGTAAGAAAGGAAGGTAAAAAGCCTTTGGGGACTGGTGAAATTTCAGAGGAGACTTTTTTTTTTTTTTTTATACTGAATTTTTTAAAACTAGATGAAAGGTCAAAACTGAAACTTTTCTACCTAGATTTCACAGCTCAGAGACTCTATAGATTTTATTTACAACGTGTTGGTGACAAAGTACAAAAAGGAAACAAGAAAACCTCACCAAAATTCCTGCTGGCACAACTGGAAACTGATAAAAGTCAAGATTGCAGCTACAGTGGAAGGACAGTCACGTGTGACGAGGCAGGTGATGAGAGTTTCTTTGAAAATTCCTACCAATACCTCTAATAATGGAGGCAACATTTGGTTCCAGTGAAAACGTGGATGAAATGGAATCCTTGCCATAGCTGACATTATTAGTAACATTTATAACCAGTGTATGTTTTGATTTCTTACTCTTTTTTTCAATCCTTTTTCCTTCAGTTACTTGTCTGTAAATATTTTTATTTTAACCTGTAAGTTGGTATTTACAGGTGCAGGTGATACAAAAAAAAAAAAAAGAAAAGAAGAAAAAAAAAAGCTGATACTTTGCTCGAGGTATAAATTATGTTTTTCCTCTTTCTCAGATGGCAGTTTAAAAAGTTGGGATGATTTTTATCCATGTTTGCTGTGTTTATCAGATTTGGGAAGGATCTGCAGAAGGCAGCCAGAGGGCCTGGTCCTGGAAATGTCTGAGGCACAGGAAATTGTGTTGATTTTCTCCAGGCAATTCAACACATCTGTGATTTAAAAGCACAGTGTGGTGGGACAAGGGCTGATGACAGAAAGTCCTGAAGAATTTCCGAAATTCAGACTTCTGGCAGTTTAATTTCACAGGAGTTTGTTCTTAGTTCTGGGCACGAGAAACATCAATCGTTGAAAATTGAATTGCGTGCTGATCACATTTACAATGAAACACTCAATGCTTGTCCTGGCTGGGGATTCTCCTGGGCTTTGGAACACGAAACCAAATAGAAGAGAAATGATGAAGTAAAAAATGGAAGATCTATACCAAAGGGTTACGAGGTTCTAGTTTCTGGTTTATTGCTGGAAGAAGTGCAAAATTACCATTTCCAGCCTAATTTTGTAAGGTAGGAGCTATTTTGCAAAGTGGCGGTGTCTTTGTAAGCAAATATTCTATTGCAAACAGGGAGATGGTTGGTATATTTTGTAGCTAAATTGTGATCTTTACAAAACCTGAAATTGAGTTTCTATACGTATTTTGACAGTTTATATATTTCATTTTAGTAACCAAATGAAATATTTTGTGAACCAGATTTTCAAGGATATATTTTTATGGATAGTACAAAGTCAAATGAGATCCTCTTTGGTGTAGGAGATATTTGAATTAATTTTGTATGTCTGTGGGCAACTTGCAAAAAATAAATGGATCCTAAAGAGTATTGGGGGAAAAAAAAGGATTAAAAAAAAATAAATCAGGGCTTTTTACTCCCCACAGTTGACAATATCTGCACATTAGGTCTGATTGTGTCAGAGAGTTCAGTTTGTACAGTTTTAATTTGTTTCAGGTGAAAATCAAAATGTTTGGCATGATCAGGACTCTCTTTTGGGTGGGGAATCTCCGTCCTTGGAGATCCCCAGAGCCGCCTGGGCAGGCTGTGACCCTGGGCAGGTGCTGGAGGTGACCCCCTGAGCAGGGGATGGGACGAGGGGACCCCCAGAATCCCGTGACAACCCCCCCATCTCCACAGCTGGGATCAAATCCCAGTCCTGCTCCCCGTTCTGTCGGCAGGAGCTGCGCTGGGGGCTGTGCTGTCCCAAGGTGTTGGAGATCCGGGTGGAATTCCAAGCCGTGCTCCCTCCCTGGATGTGTGATGCTTATCCCATGGTCAGTCAGGAGTTTTCATTCTACTCCTTTGGGAATTAATGGGCTGGTAGCGAGCAGATTCCTCTTTGCCGTGAGGAACCTGCATTTCACAGTCTCCTGGTTAGTGGGTCATAAGAGGGTGTGTTTCTCCTGGAGTTCCTAAATCTCTGGTTGTTCTGGACACGAGTCCCGAGGCGGCTCCTTTAGGCCAGGCTGGAGTGTGTCTCCTGGTTGCCATCCTGCCAGAAAAGAGCTTTTTGGCACATCAGAAACAAGGCTGGGAAGGTCCTGGCCTGAGGGAGCCGCTCCTGGAGAGGTCTCAGTGCCTCCTGTTTCTCTGGTGGAAGTTCAGGAAAAACGAACAGCGTGGAGTGTGAACCTCAAGGATTTGGGCCTTTCCCCTCAGGTGTGTTGTGCTACCTGGAATGTGTGAGAGGGGGTTGACCTACAGTTCTGAACTGACCTGGGAACTCCGTGGTAGCTGATCCTCGCTGTGTGTTCTCCTTTTCCTTTTGTAATGTGGAGTAATAATAAACAAAACCTATCAAGTGTTGAGACTGTAGAACCGTGGTGGCCAGTTCTGTGTCCAACACCTGTCCTGCTGCCAGGCACACCAGGAGTCAAGTTTTATCCTCTTAAAATAGTGTGTTGGAAAGAGCAGCTGATTTTTTTTGTCACGGGAATATTAAACAGTAACACAAGTTTCGCTCTTTAATCTCTGATCATGAAGTTCTTAATTTGGGTTTACTTTAAAATCTCGATTGTAAAGAGTAAAATCTCACTCCTGAGGGTAAGAGGTGGCAGCACCCAGTGCTGTTCTGCTGGTTGGTTCCAAACGGTCCGTGCTTTCCATGATTTGTAAATATTTGTTGAAACAATTAATGGTTGCAAATTTTGACCTTGGTAAATAAAGTCGCCAAAATATTATAATTCCGATGGTCCCTATTTATTTTTAACTAGCACAGAACTGCAGTGGTGATGTCTTGGTGGAAATACCTGTGTGGGATGGGGTCACAAGGTGGCCAGGAATAATTAATTGTCAATTTTAGCATGACAGGTGCTGTTTCATCCGCTAAAACTCGTGAGTGCAGAACAACTTTTGCCTTTCTACAGGGGGGTTTTACCTCAGATTTCGATAAGCTGAGCCACAGCTAAGGTTTGGTTGATTAGGTGGTTAATTAAAACCTTTGTGTGTTCTGCTGTGCTTACCCAGCAGAGGGAGCATCTGCCCTCCACAAGCCCTGGTGGCATCACCGAGTGTGTTTAACCTGCTGGTGGCTGGAAAGGCGCCGAAATAGGGCGGGAGGAAAGTGTTGCCAGCTGATAACACCCCTATATTCGATTTTCATCAGCAGGGCCGAGGCTCTTACCATTTCCTGTGCCGTCAGTGTGGATCTCAGAGGCAGGAAACAAAAAAAAAACCACAATTGCAAACACAACTCCTAAAAAGTAAGTGCACGTCCTTTGGCTCTTGGATTTATTGGGAGTCAGGAGGGAGCTGGTTCTTCCAAGCTTGCCCGGGCAGGGCTGAGCTCCACGATGGTTTGCCCCTCTAGAGGGTCTGTGTGAGCACCGTGTGTGCCACAGTCAGGAGGAGGGTGAGCGTGGTGCTCGTGGGTTTTGGAGTCCTGCTGGTCAGCTTAAGCTTTGATTTGATCCATGCCCTGTACTGGGACAGCCGGACGTAGATCCCGGGGTATTTGGGGCGGCCGCAGCCGACGCCGAAGCTGGCGATGCCGATCAGGTAATACTTGTCGGGGTGGTAACACACCAAGGGGCCCCCGCTGTCGCCCTGCAGGTGAGCACAAAACCCTGGTAACGGGGGAGTGCAGAATTCAGGCAGTAATAAATGCATTTTTTTAACTTCAGGCAGCTCAGTTAACTGACAGAGCAGTGATGGTAACGTGGGCAGTAACGTGGACAAGTCAAGGTAAATGTGGTGAATCAGAATCCTTGAGGTGGGAAAAGCTCTCCAGGGTCACCGAGTCCTCCCTGTGCCCGATCCCCACCTTGTCCCCCAGCCCAGAGCACTGAGGGCCACATCCAGTCCTTCCTTGGACACGTCCAGGGATGGGGACTCCAAACCTCCCTGGGCAGCCCCTGCCAAGGCCTGACCACCCTTTCCAGGCAGAAATTCCTCCTGATTCTGCCCAGACCAGAACCCCAGGCCTGCACTGCTTCAGTGCCTTTAAAGTTCTGTTGTTTTCTCTCTGCACCTTTTCATGCCAAGCCTTGTCTCCCTGAACTTCCTCGCTCCTCAGGTAATTGGGGAATGTGCTGTCCACACAGTGTGGAAGCACCAAGACACAGGGTAAGGAACACACATCCTGATTCTTGGCCATGTCACCTGCTCAGGGAAAACTGCTGAGGGAAGCAGGAAGTGTATCAGACAAAGCACTCAGGAATACATTATGGGGTTTAATTATAAATGTCTCCATGTCCCAGCTGGTGCTGCAGCTTCTGCCAGTTCTCCAGACCCGAGAATGGGCTTTTCTGAGGAAGAGGTGGTGATTGCTCAGCACTGGAATGAAAGCCCTGCCACATCCCTGAGCCATGTCCAACGTCATATCTAATTTATTGTCACCTGTGTGGCACAAACTCGTTGCGTTCTTTAACCTTTCCCTTTGTGCAGCATTCACAGACTCCTGCCACGTTTCTGATGTCACCAAATACGTCCCCGAGATACTTTTGCTTCGTGACCACCGCCCCGCCCCTCTTTTCTGACGCTTCCCTTGCCTTTGGCCTGTTCTCCAGTGGGTATTTCTGCCCCTTGGATTGCACACTGGAAGCCCCCACCCCTCTCACCTGGCAGGTGTCGGTGCCCCCGGCCCAGGCGCCGGCGCAGAGCACCCTGTCGTCCATGAGCCCCGCGTAGCCCTCGGAGCTGTTGCACAGGCTGGGAGGGAGGATTTCCACCCGGGCTTCCTTCAGCACAGGGGAGATTTTACCTGGAATGGAGGCAGAGTTCAGCAAGGTAAGGTATGCTGGGGTGTGTGGGGAGCAGTTCCTGCTGGGCTTCTTTCCCCTGTCTCGCCAGCCGGGGTGTGTTCCTGGACGTGTCCAGACATGAATGTGACCTGGATCCTGCCTGCCCCTGCTGGGTTGGGACTGGAGTGGGTTTAAGGGTTTGCACACTTGGGTTTGATGGACATTTTGCAATTTTTCCTCAGAAGAGGCATCAGTGGTAACACACCTGCCCCGCTCCAAGTGTCAGGGGTGACTTATCCCAAAGTTCCCACACACCAACTGGCGTCGAGTTTGTGCCCAGTGGGATTAAAGAGAGAACTGGAAGGAGCGTGTGTAGTCATTCATAAATCCCTGAGGACCCCTCAGTTCACAACATGCAGCATCAGAATTGTTGCTTTTTGATAAAAAAGCTGTTTCCAGCAGACCACCTTTGAGCCGCACCACAAATCCGAAAGTCAGGTGAGTTTATTTTCCTTTTCCTCACGTTATACTTGGAAGAAAGGCTGGGAAATGTACTCCTGGTGGTTGCAGCTGTGTGGATCTAACCTGGCTGGGGTGGGAAACGCCCCCCTGGAAGCAGATTCTCACTGCAGGGAGTTTAATGAAGTTGTGTGAGGGGACCATAACCGTACTCTATGTTGGAATGACGGATGGTTTGGGGTGGGAAGGGGCAGAGGGGAGCTGTGCTGGGGGCTGTGGGGCTGGGCAGGGGCAGAGGGGGGCTGTGGGGCTGGGCAGGGGCAGAGGGGGCTGTGGGGCTGGGCAGGGGCAGAGGGGAGCTGTGCTGGGGGCTGTGGGGCTGGGCAGGCCCGTTACCCTTCTCAGCAGTGCGGCCCCAGCCGCTGATGTAGCAGTCGGTGCTGTTCTCCAGCTGGGGCTGCAGCGGCACGGGGGGCAGGCAGATGGGCTGGATGTGCAGGCTGGACTGCACGGCCGAGCTCAGCTCGAACAGCGCCACGTCGTTCTCAAAGGTCTCGCTCTTGAACTCCGAGTGCACCAGGATCCTCCTGATCCTCCTCTTGGCCGTGTGGGGGCCGTGCCGGTGCAGGTTGTGCAGGCCCAGGACAGCTCTCCAGAAGCAAGGGTTCCTGAGGGACAGCTCATATTTTAACAGGGTTTTTTTTTTAGGGAATGGGAGAATGGGTTGGGTTGGGAAGGACCTTAAAGACCATCCCATCCTCCCCCCTCCTTGACAGGGACACCTTCCACCAGACCAGGTTGCTCCAACCTGGCCTGGGACACTCCCAGGGATGGGGCATCCTCTGGGAAATGCATTTAAGGGCCTCCCCACCCTCACAGGGTATTCCCAGTATCCCCATCCAAGCCTGCCCTCTTTGGCTCAGGCACCTTTAGGAATATATATTGAAAATTCCCTAGTCAATATTTTCTGGAACAAATCTGCCTCGTTCCCACTGCGTCCCTGGGAACACTTGCTTTGCCTAATGCTGGTTATGGCTGTTAAGGAAAATTCAGGTTAATGATTTACACTAAAACTTGGATTTTCCCTCCCACCCCATCTCAGCAGAGGCCAGCAGGAGATATTCTTCTGAAAAGGCTAAAAACATGGATTTATTTTGCAGAAAGGAAGGAGGCTCACCCCCACAATGCTTATAAAGACTCTGCTTGTACCTAGATTAGGGAAATCCATTAACTAGAAGTAACAATAATGAATATAAAATTTAGAAAGAGGGTTGGAGTCATTCAGACCTAATTTCTAGTCAACTGTGTTGAAAAAAAATCTTTACTGGTGTTAAGTGGGATTTGAATTTGGCCTGGGATGAGCTATATAATTAAGATTAACCTCCAAAGTTAAGGTAAAAATTAAATTGGTAATTTAAAGAGGCATTGTCTTGCAAATAAATGATTGTTAAATTCATTTAAAGAAGCAGAAAGCTGATGTAACAAAGTCCCAATGAAGGATGAAATTCCGAAGTTCAGGGATTTTACAGTTCACTTTCCCTCAGCGTCATGGTTGTGTCAACACAGTCGATGGCAGCTGGTGCAGATTGTGCAAGTTTGGCAAGGGCCACAGTTAAAAGTCTGTTCTGAGCAGTTGTTACCACATTGGGAAAAAAACAACAAAAAACAAACAACCAAAAGAACAAAAGCCAAGGCTCATGTCCAGCTGCTGTCACCAGCACCCCCAGGGCCTTTCCTGATGGGCCACTTCCATCTTTGGAGACAAGCAGGACGCTGGCAAGTTGACTTTCCTGATTGTGCTGCACCAAGTGACTGGAACTGGGGGGGATTGTGGCCCAAAGATGGGAGATGGTGGCCTGAACGTGGGAGATGGTGGCCCAAACACGGGAGATGGTGGCCTGAACGTGGGAGATGGTGGCCCAAACATGGGAGATGGTGACCCCAGTTGCCCCCAGCCCAGCTGGGCCCCCTTGCCCACCCCGTACCTCCTGCCCTCGACGCAGTGCCCGGCGGTCAGCACGGCCCTGCGGCTCAGCAGGACCCCCCCGCAGAGGTGGATGAAGCGGACGCCCCCTCGCAGGACCTGCAGGCTCACGACCCACGGCCACGCGCCCTCCGGGGCCTCGTGGCCCCCCACGATCCAGGACGTGGCTCTCCGGGCCTGGGGCGGCTGCTGCTGACACTCTGCAAAACACAACATGGGACAGGGGGGGTTTTAGGGGGAAAAACAGAGGGTTTTTTTTTTTGGGGGGGGGTCTGGGTGTGATTGGTTGGGTTTTTTTGTTGCTTTGGGGTTTTTGGGTGGTTGGGGTTTTGGGGGAGATTTTTTAAGGTGTTTTGTTGTTGTTCTGTTGGATGTTTGGCTTGGTTTGGTTTTGGTTGGTTTGTTTGTTTGTTTTTAATCTCCAGCGTTTCCACAGCACAGGAAGGAAGTGGAGCTGTGCGAGCGAGTCCAGAGATGCTCCAGGGTGATCAAAAGGAAGGAGCAGCTCTGCCATGAGGAAAGGCTGGAGAATTGGGATTGCTCAGCCTGGAGAAGGGAAGGCTTTGGGGTCACCTCATTGTGGCCTTCCAGGACCTGAAGGGAACCTGCAGGAAAGGTGGGGAGAGACCATTTCCAAGGGCCTGGAGTGCCAGGACAAGGGGGAATGGCTTCAAACTGCCAGCAGATTTTAGATGGGATTTGGGGAAGAAATTCTTCCCTGTGAGGGTGGGAAGGGCCCTCAGAGGATGCCCCATCCCTGGAAGTGTCCAAGGCTAGGTTGGAGCAGCCTGGGCTAGTGGAAGGTGTCCCTGCCCATGGCAGGGGGTGGAACTGGGTGGTCTTTAAGGTCCCTTCCAATGCAAACCATCCTGGGATTCCGGGCCTCGCTGCCTCGGGGGATCCCAGGACTTCTTAGCTGGTATAAAATACGCGTCTCTATCTTACTGAGGTGTGTCCCTTGCACGTGAAATTGACATAACTCGTCTCGAGGTGCTGCTGCTGCTGCTTCGCGAACCTCTCAAATTCAGGCGCAGCCGAAGTCTCTCTCTCTGTGTCTGTGGGGACCCAACCCAACCTCCTCCCCTCAGCCCCCGGCCCCCCTCACGCCCTTCCCCGGCCCCGGTGGGTCCCGGTACCCTCGTCGGGGTCCTTGGGGGCCGCCCCCGGGCCGGGGCCGCTCGAGCAGCAGCAGCAGGAGGAGCAGCAGCAGCACCGCGGGCCGGCCCCGCCGCATCTCCGTCCAGGGGCGAAGATGGCGGCGGCGCCTCAGGGAACCCCCCCCCCCTGCCCGGGGGGAACGGCCGGTGCCGCTGCCCGAACGGGGCCGTTGGGGCGCCGGGGACGGCGCGGGGAGAGCGGCCGGAGGGCGGCTCTGCCCTCAGGGACCGGCCCTGCCCGTCCTCCCTCAGGCACCGACCGGCCCTGCCCGCCCTCCCTCAGGCACCGACCGGCCCTGCCCGTCCTCCCTCAGGCACCGACCGGCCCTGCCCGTCCTCCCTCAGGGACCGACCGGCCCTGCCCGTCCTCCCTCAGGGACCGACCGGCCCTGCCCGCCCGCCCTCAGGCACCGACCGGCCCTGCCCGCCCTCCGGGACCGGCCCTGGCCTCCTCCCTCAGGGACCGACCGGCCCTGCCCGCCCTCCGGGGCCGGCCCTGCCCGTCCTCCCTCAGGCAGCCCCTCCCAGGAGGTGCCGTTCGGGGGCTCACCCTCACCTGGGCAAAGTTTTTAGGGGGTCTCATTCTCACCAGGGCAAAGAGCTAGGGGGGGGGGTCTCGCCCTCCCCTGGGTGAAGGGTCAGGGTTTGGGGTTTACAGGGGTTCCATCGGGAGGAACAGAAACAGCTGTGAGGAGGGGGACAGTGGGGTCCGATGGAGCCCCGGCCACATCCCAGGTGGGGAACACCCGAAGGAATCCCACCCCACAGTTAACCAGGCACGGACAGCAGTTGCCTTCCATTAATACGTTTATTTTCCTGTCTGCTGGGCTGGTTCTCCTGGGATCTTCCGTGGCAGGGTCAGCAGTGCCAGGGCTTCAGAGGGAAACGGCCTCAAGTTCCACCAGGGGAGGTTTGATTAGAGATTAGGAAATATTTCTCCATGGAAAAGGCTGTCAGGCACTGGAACAGGCTGCCCAGGGCAGTGGTGGAGCCACCATCCCTGGAAACGTTCAAAAAACGTGTGGCACTTGGGGGCACAGGTTAGTGGTGACCACGGTGCTGGTGCTGGGTTAACTGTTGGACTCTGATCCAAAGGGGCTTTTCAACCTGACCAGTTCTGTGATTCAGAGACGTTCAGAAAACAGACCCTCTCTTCTCACTTCACGCTTAATTCAGTTCCTGATTTAAGTCCTTCACTGTGTCACCGAGACGGGGACGTGCTGAGGAGCCTGTGCCGTGCTGGGTGTGCTGGTCACGACGAGGAATTTCGGGGGGACAGGGAGCAGCCGGGCAGGACAGGGGTTACTTCACCCCGTACCCCACGATGTGCGGCTGGATGGGCGTCCAGGGCAGCGCAAGACTTATGTGTTGTACCTTCAGCTCCGAGAACTTGGCCTCTTCCAGATTCTTCCAGAGCTCTCTCGTGAGGCAGCATCCAGCAAAGACGAGTTTCCAAGTCGGGAAGCAGACCTGCTGCCAAAAATACTTCCAGCTGGAATGCTCGGCGGCCACGTGCTCCAAGAAATAGAAAGCTCCTCCCTGGGAACACAGAGTCTCTTACAGTGAGTGTGGGGGTCATGCTAAGCAGCTCCCACTGTCCTGTCCCTTCCCTTTTCCCTTTTCCATTTCCCTCTTCTCCTCCCTGTATCACTTGGAATTATTAAAAGGAGGAAATGTGCAGAGATTCAAAAAGCACAAAGAATTGACTTATTTGATCCCTCTTTTATTCCAGCAATAGCTTGTTAACGGCTTTGTTTCAGTTAGTTGCTAACATGACTTTTCTTCCAAAGGAAACCAAGAGAAATGTGTAAATGCTGCTCTAACCCATCGGTTTTTGACAACCCACAGGGTTGTCTTTCAAACTGACAAAGAACAGATTTTTAGATGGGATATTGGGAAGAAATTCCTCCCTGTGAGGGTGGGTTTAGTCTGCAGCCCATTAGCATCTCCAGGGGAGAAGGTGGTTAATTAGACTGGCCTGGTCATACAGGTGAAGCAGCCCCACTTCAGAGAGGCCGAAGCAGTTCATTTGAAGTCCAGACTTTCAGCCTCGATCAGAACTTCCCACCCAGGGAAAGTCAGGTGAGTGGGAAGGGACAGCACCACATTCTGCTTTAAAGATGGACTGCGAAGTCATTTTAGTTAGCAGTGTTGCTTTTAGGATTTTACTTCTAAGACTAAACCAGTCTGACCAGTCCCATGTGCAGAATGGTTGCAGGAACCAACCCGGGTCTGGTTTTCAAGCTCAAAACCAATTTTTTATACTTTTTGCCCCCTTTCCTCCTGGCAAGGTGCCTCTGGAGCAGATGATAAAGGTACTGAGAGGCTCAGTGCAGGTACTCACCGGCCGGAGCACCCGCAGCACTTCCCTCAGGGTGCTGCTCACGCTCTGGACCGAGCACAGCACCAGGGTGCAGACCACGACGTCCACGGAGCCGCTGGGCACCTGGTGCAGGTCTTCTCCTGCGGCCACCAGGAACCGCTCGTAGTGGAGGTGCTGGTTCTTCTTCATGTTCTTGGTGAGGCTCTCCTGGAAGTTGGGGTTGATGTCGGTGCAGGTGACTTTGCAGCCCGGTGGGTAGAACTGGAAGTTGCCGCCGGCGCCGGTGCCGATCTCCAGCAGCCTCAGCTCCCCCGAGGGGCTCCGGAAGTCGGCGAGGTTACGGAACAGCTCCAGCTTGTGCTTCTTTGATTTCTTGTCGTGAATGGTGCTGATCTTTTCCAAGATGAAAGGGAAAAACACCTTCCTGCAGAAGGGCTCCCACAGGCCCAGGAAGGACAGCAGGTAGACGGGGAAGGCGAGCAGCGCCAGGCAGGTGCGGAGGAGGAGGACGCTGGCACCGGCCTCTGCCATCCCCAGCGTGGGCAGAGGATCTGCACGGGGCAGAACAACTCCTCCTGTGTGGTAGAGCCCTGGGAGCTCAGGCAGAGCTGCCTTTGGGCACTCCTATGCTCTCCAAGCGCGTTCAGCTCCTCGCACGGTCCTGCTGGACTCTTTTCTCCAGCTGATTTCCAAGTCTGGTCACAGGCGAGGACGGAGCAGCGGCCGAGCGGTGACCACAGTGTCCCAACTGGCAGGGGAGGAGCTGCCAGTTTGTTCCCAAACCGGGGCGAACTGGGCAGCACAACTGTGCGTGTAACCCCTGGCCAAGCGTCTCCGAGTGCCCTCTCTTGGCGCTCGGCAGTTCCAGCACGGTCACATCTCTTAAAGCCGCCTGTGCTGCCCTGGGGGAGCTGAAGGGAGCTCAGCCCGGCTCTGGAGCTCTCTAGGAGTCTCATTAGGGTTTGGTTAAAGTCTCAGTTCAAGCACACTTGTCTGGGAGTTGATTTTCCGCCCGATGTGAGCAGCTGGGTGAGCTCAGCAGCTCCATCCTCTCTCTGAACTGAACTGAATCTCTGCTGAAAAGAGTTTTCAGTTCGAGGACACCTTAAATCCTCTGGTATGTTGGAGCTGGCTCCGGGAGCTGCTGCTGTGGGTGATCTCAAACCTTCGATGGGAGTGGTAGGCAGAGATAACACAGTGTACTAATTCAGTGGTTGCTTTGTGCAGCATGTGGAGTTTGGGGTTTATTGACTTAAAGTCGGGTCGACACCGGCCACTCCAGAAAACTTGATCAATTTTGGGGTTGCCAGAGCTTTTCAAAGGATTTGTGGCAGTGTGGATGAGCCATTAACAGGGGACTGCTCTTTCTCCAGGTGACAGGAGGACTCAAGACCCCTAAAACCCTCGGCATGAGCACTCCCTAAGAACCTTGGGGCAGTTCTGCTGGGAATTGCGTTGGAGTTCTGTTTTCCTGGGAGTGCCTCCGGTGCGTCCCCTCCTCCCTCTGGTGGCAGTGAAGCAAATTAAACCCAGGAGTAATTAGGTGCTTCATTAACGAGCTCTGTTGTGTCTTCATGCCTCCACCTCGTGGCAACTACAAACGGATTGAACAACGGGAATCACAGAATCATTTAGGTGGGAAAAGACCTCCAGGGTCATCGAGTTAATTACTCTGGGTTGTGCATGTGAAGCACAAAATAGAGGCAGTAATGGATTATTTTATTATAATCTGGGTTTATATCAGGTTGTAATTCCTTGCTGCTGTGCTGCAGGGAATCATGGAAAAAGGTTGAAGTGGCCAAGGAAGCAGCACCTGCTCTTGGTGTCCTGAGGGAGTTTCCCTGGAAATTATTCCTAATGAAACTCCTGTGTTTAACAGGAGTGAGTGAGGTTGGAGGACCAGGCCCGGTGATGATGCTGATGAAGATGATGATGATGGACAGCCCAGGCCCAGTGATGCTGATGATGAAGATGGTGCTGCTGATAGAAGACCAGGCCCTGTGACAATGCTGCTGCTGCTGCTGAAGATGATGATGACGCTGCTGATGAAGGACCAGGCCTATTGATTATGATGGTGATGAAGGTGATGATGATGGTGATGCTGATGGAAGGACCAGGCCCAGTGACAGTGCCAATGAAGATGAAGATGCTGAAGATGCTGATGAGGGACCAGGCCCAGTGTTGATGCTGATGAAGATGAAGACGCTGAAGATGCTGATGAAGGCCCAGGCCCATTGATGCTGATGATGAAGACACTGATGAGGGACCAGGCCCAGTGATGATGCTGATGAAGACGAAGATGATGAAGATGCTGATGCTGCTGAAGGACCAGGCCTGGTGCCAGTGAAGATGAAGATGATGAAGATGATGAAGGTGCTGCTGAAGGACCAGGCCCATTGATGCCAATGATGAAGATGCTGATGCTGCTGAAGGACCAGGCCTGGTGCCGGTGCTGATGAAGATGATGAAGATGATGAAGGTGCTGCTGAAGGACCAGGCCCATTGATGCTGATGATGAAGAAGCTGCTGAAGGACCAGGCCCAGTGATGATGCCAATGAAGACGAAGGTGATGAAGATGCTGCTGAAGGACCAGGCCCACTGATGCTGCTGCTGAAGATGCTGATGATGAAGATGCTGCTGAAGATGCTGCTGCTGCTGCAGGCCCCGGTTCCGCCGTTCCGTTCCCGGTGCCCGCCCCGGGTCGGGGTTTCCCCCCCCGCCCCCGCGTTGCCGGTGGCTCCGCAGCGCCCCTGGCGGCGCGCGCGGGGCGGGCAGGAGCCGCGCGGCGCGGGGGGCCGGGCCGGGCGGGGGAGCGCCGGGAGCGCACCAAGATGGCGACACCCGCAGTCCCTCCCGCAGCTCCCCCCGCGCCGCAGTCCGGACCCGCCGCGCCGGGGCCGCGCTGAGCCCGCCCGACACGGTGAGTCGCAGCCCCCGGGACCCCCGCGGGCCCCACCCGCGGCTCCCCGCGCTTACCGTCCCGTTCGGATCGCCGCCTCCCCCGGGGGCTCTGCCGCAGAGCGCGGCCCGGGCGGCGCCGGGGACACCCGGCCGGGCACCGGGGGCGGGTTGCGGGGGGGAGCTCGGGGAGCCCCCAGCCCCAAACCCGCCGCGGGGACGGGGGGGAGTCCCGTCCTGGGGCTTTTCCCCCCTCCACACCCGCCCCCTCGGGGGATACTCGGTCACCCCGCGCCCGGGGAGAGGGTCGGGGGGAGCCGGTTCTCTGCCCGCCCGGAGCCCCAGCCGGGGCCGGGGGGCT